GGCAGGGCCACAGAACGGCATCGTCTGCTGGGGACAGTGTGGTCCCCAATGACCAGGCCCTTCACCCATCTGAGGCCACTCGGCAGCCTCCTCAGCCGCCTGGTGTGGCTGTGACCCAGACACAGCAGCCACTGTCTGCCCAGCAGCAGGGTAGGGCGCCGGGCCCGAGGCCGGCTCTGCGGCCTGTCAGGAGATTTACACCCGACTCTTAACAGCCTCGCGGAATAGCAAGCGGGTGCCGGGCCTGGGGTGGTCTGCCGTGAATCGGCCCCCTGTGAGCAGATGAAAGCCGGGTCGGTGGCTGGGCAGGGAAACGGGCTGGCCGGGGGCCAGCGGGCAGGGAGGCAAGCGGGCTCCCTCCCAGGGCTGCAAGTGGGGCTTCCAGCAGCCTGGGGTTGATTAGGAGAACCCGGGAGGTCTGCGGTTAACCCCTTCCCTCCTGCTGGGTGGACTCCCCTGGCTCCCCTAGCCCTGCCCCTAGTCCAGGGGACTCCTGGGGTTGTGGGGATCTTGGGAGCTGGGAGTAGTTGCCTCTCCTCAGCCTGGGAAGAAACTGCAGAAACTCTAAGGCCCTCAAAGGCCCAACTGTGGGCTTCGGGTCACTTCTCCTGCCCACGCCAAACCCTCGGCAGCCACACTTTGCTGGCTGCTCACTTCGGGCCCTCACTCAAAGGTCACTTCTTTAGGAGGCCCCACCCCTTGTTCCATCCCCTGCACGCTCCACTCCTTCCAGCTTTGTTTTTCTTCATAGGACTTCCCGCTACTCACTACTCGAAATGACATTAACGGATCATTTGCTTATTCATCAATGATTTATGGACCAGCTATGAAAGGCTCCTGCCTGCATTCCTGGGGTCTATCTACACCTGGGCCTGGTAAACCAGAGGAAAGAACTCTGCCCTTGTAGAGCATAAACAATAGGGGGCCAGGTGAGGTGGCTCATGCCTGTCAGCCCAGCATTTTGGAAGGCTGAGGTGGGCGGATCACTTGAGGTCAGGAGTTCAAGACCAGCCTGGCCAACACGATGATACCCCGTCTCCATTAAAAACATGAAAATTAGCTGGGCATGGTGGTGGGCGCCTGTAATCCCAGCTGCTCGGGAGGCCGAGGCAGGAGAATCATAACCTGGGAGGCAGAGGTTGCCGTGAGCTGAGATCAAGCCACTGCACTCCAGCCTGGGCAACAGAGCGAGACCCCATCTCAAAAAACAAAACAATACCAGAGAGATGAGTAACAAATGAAACAAATAATCAAACTAGATAGCATCCTAGAAGGTGGGAAGTGCTCGGGGTACATTAAAGCCAGGAAAAAGAAGGGGGAGAGGTGAGGAAGGCTGTGTGTGTGTGCCACTTGAAACAGGGGTTCGGCTGAGAAGTGCAGAGGCTTAGGGTGGAGGGAGTGAGCCAGGCATCCGGGCGTGTCTGCGGAGGAGTGTTCCAGGGGGAAGGAAGAGCAGTGCAAAGGCCCCCAAGGCAGGAGTGTCCCTGGCAAGTTCAAACACCAGCCAGGAGGCCAGGGTGGCCAGAGCAGGGTGTGCAAGAGGAGGGCATGCAAGAGGGGGGCAGGGGGTAACAGGCACAGGCAAGTGGGCGTGAGGGCCATTCCCCCACCGAGGTCCATGCCAGACTTGCCAGGTGCTGCAGCCCCCCTGCTGGGGTCCTGGACCCGGTTCAGCAACCTGCTTCTTAACCAGCCCCCAGTGACTCTGAGGGACACCAGCACTGAGAACCTCAGAAACCAAGGCCACACAGGCAGGAAGCCACCGAGCCAGCCTTCAAACCCAGCTGGCCACCTGGCTGCAGGCCGGGCACACTCTGCAGGGCACCAGAGGGGAACGACCCAGCCACAGAACCCACAGCCGGCCTCAGGGATCTACAGATTCCCAGTCCTTGGCTCCCAGGACCAGACCCTAATCCCACTTCACCCAACAGCAGGTTCAGGTTTCAGAGGGTCAGAGGTGGCAAAACAGGAAAAACTGCTGGGAAAGGAAGTCCGGGAGCACCAAAGGACCGCAACACCCAGGAGGGTGGTGGGGCACTTCCTGGGGCCAGGCCATGGGAAACTCAGTCAACCCTCACGGCAACTCCCCCAGGCAGACGCCAATACCACCCATTTCACAGCTGAGCACACTGAGGCCAAAAGGCCCTTCCAAGTGGTCCTCATTTCCCTGAGCCCTGGGTTGGAGCTGATGGTCACCTTGGGCAAGAGGTTTTATGCCCTGGCCTCTGTCTTCTCCTGGGGCTGCCCAAGAGATCAGTTAATGGGAATTTTGCACAGGGCCTGGCACAGGGAGGGGGTTGCCCAGTGATCAGGAGCTGCCGAGCTGGTCCCTTCACTCTTATAGATGGGGACACTGAGGACCAGAAAGGCCAAAGATTTGTCTAAGGTCAAAGACAAAGGAGTGGGGCCGCAAACCAGGGCATGAGTGGGACTCGATCTTAGGGCCAGAAAATGCCTGGGACAAGAGCAGGCAGGTCCTAAGAATGGGGGACCTGGTAGGCTGCCCTCCAACCCCATCTCGGCTCTGTTCTACAAATAAAACCACTGATCCAGCCCCTACCGGGGCCCAGAGAGGGAGGCCACCTGTCTCAGGTCATTCAGCAAGCCCGGCCTCTGATGCCGTGGGTCTCCAAGCCCAGCCTCTATCCCTTCCTCTTACTGCCTCATCCTGAGCCGCTGCTCTCCCTCCCAGCTCACCCCAGAAGGGGCCATCTTAGGTCTGGGAGAGCCAGGCAGGGAAGAGCAGGAGGGGATTCCACTGGACTCTCCCTCAGGCAGGGCTCAGTCTCCACGCTCATCCAGGGGCCCCAGCAGGGCAGGGTGGGCAGCTCTGGGGTGGACTGGGCTGAGAGCACAGAAGACTCTCAGAGGTGCCAACATTGCCCAGTACCTCAGCATCTTCCCACCAAGCGTCAAGACCCCTGTCCCGTGCCTCTACCAACCTGGTGCTCCCCTCTTTCTGGAGTGGCTCCCAAGGGCCACATCCCCACCAGGAGCCCAACTGCCGCTCCTGTCCATTCTGCCCCTGCCCCTGGAGATGTAGGGCAGGGCTGCCATCTCCTTCAATGGAGACTTGATGCCTGCACCTCTAGTACCAAGGCAGCCGCCCTGCTGCTGCCCTGAGAGAGCCCACCATTGACAAATGGTGTGGTGGGAGTGCAGAAAGGGGGCTGGGTACCAAGGATGACAGAACACTGTGGACCCAGTGACTCATGGGACCTCTCGGTGCTACAGCCATGTGCTGTCCACATGTTGCCCCTGATCTCCAGGCCTGCAAGTGGGTGGCATCATCACACGTCACAGAGGAGGGAGCTGCAGCCCAGAGAGGTCAATGGCTTGCCCCAGGTCACACCACAGATTAACAGCTTTGGCTAAAGTGACTGCTTATCTGCCCACTCCCACTGGTAAGTGCTTTCAATAGGTTAAGCCACTGTTTCCTCGAAATAGCATCATGAGGCAGCTGTTTGTGTGAATCTCATTTTTCAGACGAGGAAACTGAGGCATGGAGATGACTTGCCGAAGACCCCATAGCCAGGAAGCCTGGCTTGGAACCTGCTCTCTGCGCTATGGTGGCCTGCGGCTCACAAGGGCTCCCAGCCACCACCTCGAGACTCCTGCAGTCACAGATCCAGTTCTCAGATGACAAAACTGAGGCCAAAAAGAAGACACGACCTACCTAGGGCCATGAAGCCCAAGGCCAAGAGCATGGGCCGGTCCATGTCTGATCCCAGCAGGAGGGAACTGGCAGGAGTGTGGCCAGAGCAAGTGCTGGCTGGGAGCTGAAGGTGCAGGCTTGAGGATGCATGCAGGAGCTCAGGGCTGGCAGAGGTGACCCTCAGAGGCCTGGAGGGAGACTCTTCCAGGGCTGCTGGCCTCAGCTCCAAGCCTTTCCCAAGTGGCCAGATGCTGGGATGGGCCCAGGAATCAGATGACGGGGTGTCAGACCCAGCTGACTCCCAAGAAGGGAGGGTCCAGCCTAGGGCCAGGCCTCCTGCCCCAAACCTGCTCAGCCTAGAATCTTGCCTCTGGGAAGACTGAGGCCTGGGACACCTCCCCACACCTGGCACAGCATAAGGTACTGTTGAGATACCCAACTCCCTCAGGCCTTGATTCTCTCCTCACTGGGACTTGGGTGACCCCTTTGGCTCTGCTGTCACGAAGATCCCATTCAATAGTGACTGAAAAAAGGTTTTCTAAACTGCAAAGGGTCACGTTTCTGAGAAAGAGAGAGGCAGGCCAATCCTCAATGCACCAAGCTGAGAATGCCTCGGGGAGGTGGGATGGAGCTCAGGAAGCTGGCTGGCTCTGTTTAATTCATTTCATTCATTCTGCACACACAGAGCCTAGGCCTACCCTCCCACTTCCCCAGCCTTAATCTGACCTTCAGCAAGCAGAAGAATTAAACACAAACTCGCTTTGATGGACCAGGGCTTCCTGCTCATAGCAGGTGCTCAGTGAATATTTGTGGAATCAAATTTGCAGTCCTGATGTCGCTTATGTGGGTCAGAGGATCCGAGTGCCCGGGCTCTGGGTGACCTGAGCAAGTCACATGCTAAGATTCAAAGACCCAATTTCCAGGCAGAGGACCTGGCCTCACAGCCAGGCCAGTCCCTGACTTTTGATCACTCCTGTCCTCCATGCATCCCTCAGCCACCGGCAGAGAAGCTGGGGGCAGAGTAAAGCAAGCCTGGCCCAACCTCCACCCAGAAACGCACAAGCACGCCACACATGCCACATCTGAAAGCTTTCTCTAAACTTTTCCTTCCCTTGACTCCCTCAGCAGTCCCCATGGACAGTTGTCCCCACTCCCAACCTCCTCGCTCACCTCCCACAGTCTAGGGCTAAGCCCAGAGGGTTTAAGGTTTTCCAGCAGGGACGCAGTGTGTGGGGGACAGAGCCAAGGGCTGCAACGCCCCAAGAGGGCTCCATCTGTCTGACCTAACTGCTGTCCTTCCCCCACTGGATCCTCCTCCCCCATGCAGGGGCTCGGTGGCACTTACGTCTGGGCTCCCGGGGTCCGTCCACGGTCACCTTGATGGCTCGGTGGTAGGTGGCCACTTGGGTGGGGTTGGTGAACACAGTGATAGTCAGAGTGAAACTCTTCCCTGGGGAGAGTGGGGGACAGAGGCAGGCAGTTGGCAACTGGAAACTTCCACAACATCCTGCTCTCCCACCTGTACCTACCCCTGGAAGCCCCTAACTTTCAAGAAGAGGCACTCTGTCTTCTTTGAACCTGGGCAGGGTGAAATTCAAGCTGCCGGGCTTGGCATTCAAGGCTCCTGGGGGTCTGACACCAACTTTGCCACCCTCCACCCCTTGCCGTGGTGACCCTGGCTCATGTCTTCCCTGCTTCTTGGACTTTCTGCTGTCTCCTCTATTCAGAAACACCATTTTGTGGCGGGGAGCAGGATGGGTATATTCTATTTTCTGAAAGTAACTGGTGATCTTTGTAGAAAAATTCAAGAACATAGAAAATATAAACAAAGAAGAAAAAACCCTCCCACGGTTCCACTAGGCAGAGATAAACACCATTACCATTTGGGTGTTTTCTCTTCCAGTTCTTTTTGTATGGGTTTGTATATTTACACAGTAGCAGTGGTACTAAAATATAGATTTTCATACTGTTTTTCTTTTTCATTTAACATCACATCAGAAGCACTTTCCCACGTCATTAAAACTTCTCCATAAACTTCATTTTTAATGGCTGCAAAATATTTCAACTCACGGAAGCCTCATCTTTTATTTATCTACCTCCTTACTCCTAGGTATTTACATGGTTGCTAATTTCTTATTGATGTGTGCAGCTGGAGCTGAAAAAGGACTGATTTGGGAGCTGTAGACATTTCTTCTGTAGACACAACTGTTATTTCCAGAATGTTTTTCTATTTTTAGACAGACATTTGGCTCCAAAGTCTCCATTCAAAATTCCTGAGAGGGGAAAAAAACTTTTAAAATACTATATATATATATTTTTTTTACCATTTAAAATAAAATGAAAGTGGCCTTCTATTTATAAACATCTTTGTCTGCATCTCTGCTTATTTCCTTAGAATAGATTCCAAGAAGCGGTGAGTGACTTCACGGCATCAGAGGCTTGGGACATATTATGGGCACGGCTCCCTCTTGGAGTGAGATGACTCTCCGGAGAGATTTAGTCGTCACCCTTGCCTGTGAGGCTGCGACACACCCCAGGGATGTGTCTATCAAGATGGAAGATCTTTTACACGCTCTTGATTTTGTTTGCCTTTTTTCTATTACTAGTGAGACTGAAACTTTTTATATGATCATATCCATCATAATCCAACACTAATTATTGCTTCATGCTCTTTTACTTTCCTGTGAAGGTTTTAGTGCCTTTTAAAAATCGCTATACAAGAAGCTTGTTAATACTTTCCATGCTGTATTTGTGGCCATCAGTACCCCGGGTCACCAGCCTGCACATTTCGCCTTCTTACGCCGGGCGGTTTTTCATTTTCACTTCTATTTCTCGTTCTCCTATCGTTTTATGTTTAGACTGGTTTCTCCGTATAGAAAGCAGTTTATCAAGATTTAGTTTCGACAGTGTTCTCTCTACTTTCTACAGTGAATTCTCTAACATGTCTGGGAGTTTGCTGGATGGCATGGTAAAGGATAAGGATTTTTCCTCAAAGGGCAACGCAGTCTTCCTAGGGTCTTGGGAAGAGTCCTCCTCTCACCTATTCTGTTATGATACACAGCCTCATACGATACGAGATTAGTGGCCCGGAGTGGGGGGCGTGGGGTTTGCAGATCCCCCAAGCTAGACTTTATCCCCCATCCCTGGCTCTGGATCCCACATACGGGCCTGGGAACTCCCTGTCGGTAGGGCCAATGGTCTGGCACATGTCACGCGCACCCCAGGGCTGGCACAGGATGGCCACCGAGGGACCAAGGGAGGCTGCCCAAGTGCAGGAGTGATCAAAATTTCAGTCAGAGGTTAGGGACAATTCAACTGTAGTGTTTTCCTACCTCCCTCCGACAACCCTCTACAGTGGGCAGGTAGGTTTCAACATCTGCATGTTGCAGGCAGGAGATGAAGCTCAGGGTGGAGGCTAGGATCTCACAGTTGTCTCTGCATGGCCAGGTACTTGGGGGCCAACTATCAGGTGAAAATTCCAGCCACAGAGGCAGGAGAATCCAGAACAAAACTAAACCAGCTAGGCTGCCAGGAGCAACGCCACAGAACGAGAGGTCCTCTGAGACACCAGGGGAGTTTCAATCTCAAGACCCACTGGCGTATGGCTCCAACTGGGAAGCGAGGGGCTTCTCTGGAAGTCTCTTCGTAAGCCAGCCGGCACTTGCCCCTGGAGCCCCAGGTCAGAACAGACCTGCTCTCCCACTCTTAGGTCATGGGGGCACTTTGCATGATTTCTAGAAGCAGAAAGTGCAGATGGTCTAGGGAAGTGCCCAGCAGATGCCTCAGGCTCCCTGCCCGACCCCTCCTACTGCCTATCCTCACTCTGAGGTCATTTCTCTCCTGTACCCCTTCCTCCTCCAACCAGCTCAGTACTCTCCTGGGGTCCCTGAGCCTCTGACCCTGCCAGTGTTGTCCAGCACCTTCTTGGTTCTGACAGCCCAGAGCCCTATGAGCCAGACTCCAGACACAGAGGACGGATGAATGGGCCCCAGTCAGTGCCTTGCCACAGGGCCCCAGGCCCACAGTAGCAAGTGAAAGTTCACTAAACCGCTCCTTCATGCCTCTCACCTCAGTCAGGCCTTCCCTGGTCACTTTATCTAAAGGGGGCATTTTTAATCTATTATTTTTTTTTTTTTTTTTTTTTGAGACAGGGTCTTGCTCTGTCATCTAGGTTGGAGTGCAGTGGCATGATCATAGCTCACTGCAGTCTGGACCTCCCAGGCTCAAGCTGTCCTCCTGTTTCAGCCTCCTGAGTAGCTAGGACAACAGGTGAGCACCACCATGCCTGGCTAATTTTTTTTTTTTTTTTTTCCTTTCTTTCCTTTTTCTTTTTTTGTAGAGACAAGCTTTTACTATGTGCCCAGGCTGGTCTTGAACTCCTAAGCTCAAGTGACCCTCCCACCTTGGCCTACCAAAGTGTTAGGATTACAAGCATGAGCCACTACACCTGGCAGGTATTTTTAACTTGGCTCCGTATAATTGAGAGCCTGAGAACTGGGATAGGAAAACATTACAATTGTATTGTCCTTAACCTCTGACTGAAATTTAGCATCACTCTCAAGTATGAGCGTAGGCAACAAATCACAGAGGTATTATCAGCTGTACCTGTGACCTTGTCGCCAATAGACGTCACAGTTACTACATCTCACATTACAGCTGCTGCAGGTTTCTCTAAATATCTTTTATGCTCGTCACAACTTCAAAACCATGGTCATCATTAAACCCAATGCTAGATCTTATTTAATACGTTGAGCAAAGCAGCATATTTACCACAATTTTTAAAGCATTTTGCCATGTTTTAATAGAATTGGTTTCCATTATAATACTTTGCATTTGATTTTATACCTTTAAAAAATCCTTATTCTGAGAAAGGTGTGTGGGTTTCTTCACCAGATAGCAAAGGGGCCCATGGGGTTAAAAAAAAAAAAAAAAAAAAAAGACAATAACAAAAAAAACCAAAAAGGCGAAGCAGCTCAATCTGAAGTAACACAGGCCTCCCACTCCCTTCCTCTATTCCCTGCACCTGCTGGAATTTTCCCACAATGCGTATTGCTTTTAATAATCCATCTACTCATTTTGTTTCCTTCCTCTAGATTATAAACTCCCAGGGGCCGAAGTTTTTGTCTTGTTCATGCTGTGCCTCCAGCCCTTAGGATGGCATCTGGCACACAGTAGGTGCTCAACAACATTTGTAAAATAAATTAAGGGCAGAGATAATGGCTCTCATTTTGCAGATGAGAAAACTGAGGCTCAGAGAGGAGCAGTGAGTTGAGCAGGTCACACAGTATCCAGGCAGGACTCAGAAAAGTTAGAATGTGCCAGAGCCTGCCCCTCCACACAGGTACTAAGGGCCTGCTCCTGAGCAGTGAGAAGCCCCCACTCCTACCAGGCAGCAAACCACGTGCCACCCCTGAGATCACCAGCACTCCTCAGTGGCTTCCACCAGCTTCTGGGCCTGTCCCCACCCATCCCGGGTATAAAGGAGGAATGTGGGGCCTAAGAGGAGGAGTGAGAGGACGGAGCAGGCATGGGGACCAGGACCACTGGAGACAGGGAGCCTGGGAACCAGGGCTGGGAAAAAGAGGTCTCCCTGAGTGCCCCTTAGCTCCTCTGGCCCTGCCCAGCCCTCTCTCTGCCTGGCAGCGGCAAACCCATCCATCCCTCTCTCTCAGCCTCTAGATATAACTCCATGCAGGAGCCCTGAGTGAACCTGCAGTCTGTCAGGAGCCCAGGAAGTGCAAACTCAGGCTCTTGGAGGGCTGGCCCTGGTTGTGGGGGAGAAGGCTAGGGCTGGGAAATGGGTTTCCTTTAGGGCTCCAGAAACTCATCCTGGACCCATCATTCAGCAGCCGGGTTGGCAGTGTGGCCTCAGGCAAGTCCTTGAGCCTCTCTGCCTGTGTTCCTATATGTCTAAGGTCCCGTCCCTACCCACCAGAGCTGCATGGGCGGGGGAGGAGACATGTCTCAGTCTCAGGGGACCTCGGGGTTTTCTCAACTTCAAGAAGATGATCAAGAAGCCATCCATCTCTCCCCCAACCAGCGGTTCCCCTCAGCCTGCACCGGCATACCGCACCCTGAATCTCCGTCCACACTGTTGCTTTTTAACCAGTTGACCACAGCTGTGGAGCTCATGTGCTTTTCATTTTCACCTAGGCCAGTGGCTGCCTGCTAGAGGGCATTTTGGGGATGTGTGGTGGCATGTGGTCAACACAGTGCTGGGGTGGCACTGCCAGCATTAGGAATGGGGTGTGTGTATGTGGAGGGGGACGCCAGCGCACAGCACTGCCCAGGGCAGTGAAGATTCATTCTTCCTGGGAGGGTAAAACTTGCTTATAAAAGTTCTCTGGCTAGGCGTGGTGACTCACGCCTGTAATCCGAACACTTTGAGAGGCCAAGGCAGGAGGGTGGCTTGAGTCCAGGAGTTCAAGACCAGCCTGAGCAACAGAGTGAACACCACCCCCATCTCTACAAAAAATGATTTTAAAAAATCAGTCGAGCATGGTGGCGTCTGCCTATAGTCCCAGCTACTGAGGTGGGAGGACTGCTTGAGCCCAGGACATAGAGGCTGCAGTGATCGCACCACTGCACCCCAGCCCAGGTGACAGAGCAAGACCTTGTCCCAACAAAAAGTAAAAGAAAAAAAAATTCTCGGAGTCATGAACCTAATTCAGTTTTACATAAAACAAGCGATTTTTTTTTTTTTTTGTTATTTTAAATACTTATTTTTTTTGAAGGAAAGACAGTTTTTTTTTTTTTTTTGGAAATTTTGTTCACAGCTTTGCCAAGAGTTGTTGACAACTTCAGAAAGTCCTGATATTGGCAGCAAGGCCATGTTGAGACTGAGTCCTGCCACTCTGCCTGTTCCCTCTGCTGTGGGCTTCTGTGAGGACGACATTCGTCCACCTCATGGAGTCCTCTGGCCCTAACATTTACATATTCAAATCAGTGTTTTATTACAAATTACTTTCCCTTTTTTCCTCCATCATAGCTATGGAGTAACATAGTTTGCAACTGCCTGTAAATATGTAGGTTACATTATTTACAAATTTCAATGTAAGGCTTGATACAAAATATGTATTGTAAGAAAGCCTCCTTCTGTCTGGTGGGGCAGGGACCTCGGCCCTAATCACTGCAGGAGACAGCAATGCCCTGGATTTCTTCCCTTCCTTTTCTTGGTTCACACCTTCAGCCCTATCGTGAGTGCTCTGGGGTATTACTGGGTGGATGTCTTTCATGGAAAGCCATCTTCCTGGAATTCAGACAGAATATAGGACTAAAAATTGAGGAAACAAGCAGAGGTTTCTATCAGATTTCTCAGTTCTGGCAGAAGTCAGAGGGCCAGGCAAGGATTCTGGGTCCCAACCTCCGATCTTAACTCCCAAAGTGTCCCGACTCCTAGAGTGGCCCAAATTGTCACTGTTCTCTCAGGTGGGAATTTCCCAGTCGGCAGGATGGGCACCGCAGATGTGTGTCTGCATGCCAGCGGACCCAGCACCATCTTTCCTCCCTGCCAACCGCCTCCACCTCTCCCACTCAGCAGTTCGTACCTTCTGGGTTTCCCCCACCCCCGCCCAAACCGCACGGTAATCAGAGAATCAGTGGCTGTCACCGCTCAAAGGGACCTCAAAGTCCTCCTCCAGTCCCAAGCATTTGAAGTAACAAAATCTCTAACATGCATCCAGCTCTCAGTATATGCCAGCTGATACACTTGCATCCATTTCCCTAACCTTCCCCAAATCTCATGAGGTAGGTCCGATTATCATCCTCACCTCACAGATGAGGAAACCGAGGCACAGAGAGGTTAAGCCATTTGCCCAATGTCATCCACAAGTCATTAGCAGAGCCGGGACTCAAAGGCAGGGCGGCTGATACTAGAATGCTGGCTCCTAAAGACCTCAAGCCTTTGAAGGCTGAACGCCTTAGCCAGAGCTCCTCAGACATCGGAACTCCTCCTCAGAGCACTTCCTGCCTCCCAGGACCACTGAGACTGGTTTTGGACCACTGAGAGAAGATGGATGAGAGAATGGTTTATAAACTCAGCCTCTGGCATCTCCCAGAGCCACAACCCCAGCCACGGCCATGCCTGCTACAAGGACCAGCTCCCAACCAAAGCTTTGGAAATCCATGTTCCTCCCTGCAGGCCCAGTGAGGGGTTGGGGGCGGGGGCTGGGTGGAGCACAAAGTCTGTGGGCATGAAAACCACACACACAAAAAATCATTCTCAGTGTGCAGAACGGCCAGGCAAGGTCTCGGTAACTCAGAAAATCGTCGCCTCTTCTCTTTCTTTATCTCACCTCCCAGGAGAGTGAGTGGAAAGGGGGAATCAAGTTCCTGATGCCTTGCTGGGCTCCCAGATCCACAGCACCTTCTGCCCGCCTCGCAACAGACAGCAGCTATAGTGCCCTCAACACACACCTGAGCTAGCAGACCCAGCCACCGCCACGCAGTCAGCAGTCATCCTTGCCTGCCACCAAGCAGGGACCAGTGACTCTCCTGTCAGGGCTGGGATTAAGTTGCAAAGGGTTTGAGAGATTGGGGATGACAAAAGGGACTTGAAGACTAATTAGGAGCAGCAATGAAAGCTTAATTCATAAAAGCAAACATTTTCCATCCACCAACCTGCAACCAGTTAAGGGCACCGTTTGAAAGAAATCTGTGCGTGGGGAAGGGAGCCAACAGGAACAGGAAATGTTTGAAAGAATGTAAACTATTTCAGTTTCATAAAAAGTAACAAGTAAACAGTTATTACATGCAAATAATGTCCTGGTTTTAATTAATGCTGAAAAGTCAAAATATGGTTGACATTTGGATGTATACATTGAAAGGCAGGAGAGGGAGAAAATGGTGCCCAGATGCCCGTTTCTGAGTGGGGCTGGCAGCTCAGAGGGAACTAGAACCTTGAGAAGGTCCTGTTTATTGGTGATGAAAAGCACGGTTCTGCTTCAGCCGCTTCAGCCTGGAGTTGGGGAGCAGAGGGAAATCAGCTTACTTCTTAACAAAGCTAGAGGTGGGCCTGGTGCTTGGGAAGGGCAACTCCCACTTCAGCCACTTCTCGCAGGCAGGCTGATCTTAAAGGGGCAGCGGACCCTCAGGCCTCCATTCCACGGGGGGCAGGGTTTCTAGGACTTTCCCATTTAACTTTTCCAGGAGTTAAGTGATGATGGGTTTCAGGTCCCAGAAGCCCCATTCAACAGCCCCCACCCCTGTCCGACCTTCCTTCTACTACCCAAGGTCGATCAGACAGACAGGATGGCACACCAGCCTGGACTCTCGGGTAGGAGATGGCAGCCTTCGAGCTGTTTTCTAACATTCGCTGCATTAGCTTCCATTCCAGACCACCTAGGGCTCAAAGGCGCTGGGAAACTGCACCTGGGAGACCACAGCTGGGGAGACAGAGCCTTCGAGTATGGGTGAGATTCTGCCCCCTATGGAGAGAGTGGCTGGGGTGCTTGGGCCCTGCAGACCAGGGACCCGTCTTGCAACCCCCTTGCAGAAAGACCTTTAAGCTCCCTTTTTGAGCTTGTGAATCCACAAACTCCTGCCAGCATCTTTTGTGAGATCAGGGGTGTTTAAAGAGGGGTGGCATGAAAGGGTTCGGGAGTTGGTAAACCCTAGAAACTGGGGTAACATTGTCTTTTTTTGGCAAGAGAATATAACTTTCCTCACCTCCTCAAAGGTATCTGTAACATTCTACGGGATTACAGATCACTGTTTTAGACAAAGCTGTGTCTGGAGACCTGTTTTTCGGGATTCCAAGGCCCCTCTTTCAACCTCCTTCCCCGCTGTCCCTGCCCTTGCCAATGCTGAACTGGCGAGGCCTCCCTCCCGCTTACCTCGCCCACTGCGTCCCACAAAGCGAAGGTCGTTGAACCTGGCCACCTGGTTCTTCATGACGGCCGAGGCGTTGCGTAGCTCCGCAGAGTAGTTCTCATCATTGCCTGCCATCACGGTCACCACCGTGCCATCCGGCACATCCCCCAGTGCCACCACCTGAGGACACAGGGCAGGGGATGCAGGAGGACAGCTTAGAAAGGAAGCGGGAGGCAAGGGAAAAGAGGGGATGGGCTGGGCCAGGCAGCTCCCCTAGGTCCCAGGCGCACTGCGTATTTCTCCAATGCAGGGTGGAGAAGCGGCTTAAAAACAAAAAGGACCTTCCCCCAAATATCACGAAAACAAAAAGATGGAATCTCGAGCTTCCACACCAAAATCCCAGATCAACTGCTTAAACTGTGTCCCAAGAAATTTCAGCGAAGTCTAAGCCGGAGCTGTGAATCAGCTCAGTCACTATGATGTGGGGAGCAGTTCCCCTGTTGTCTTCAGCTGCAGCGAAAGAGGAATCAACATGCCCCTAGCAACGAAGTCTCCAAGTAAAAAACAATATCAACGATATGGCCGGGCACGGTGGCTCAAACCTGTAATCCCAGCACTTTGGGAGGCCGAGGTGGGCAGATCACGAGGTCAAGAGATGAAGACCATCCTGGCCAACATGGTGAAACCCCGTCTCTACTAAAAATACAAAAATTAGCTGGGCATGGTGGCGTGCGCCTGTAAGTCCCAGCTACTCCAGAGGCTGAGGCAAGAGAATTGCTTGAACCCGGGAGGCAGAGGTTGCAGTGAGCCGAGATTGTGCCACTGCACTCCAGCCTGGCGACAA